TACACTACTTAATCCTACTTATTGTTTATGTACATCACTTAATCCTACCAATGATTTACATACATCACTCAATCCTACCAATGATTTACGTACATCACTCAATTCTACTAATGATTTACGTACATCACATAATCCTACCAATGATTTACGTACATCACATAATCCTACCAATGATTTACGTACATCACTTAATCCTACCAATGATTTACGTACATCACTCAATCCTACCAATGATTTACGTACATCACTCAATCCTACCAATTTTTGACAAATACCACTCAATCCAAAGAATGGTTTCCGTACATGATTTAATCATACCAATGATTGACGGACATCACTTAATTCTTTCCATGATTCACGCATATCACTTAATCATTTCCATGATTAAAGTACATCACTCAACCCCTACCAATGATTTACGCACATCTCCAAATCCCACCAATGATTTACGCACATCACTTAATCATACCAATGATGTATGCACATCATTAACCCCTACCAATGATTTACGTACATCACTTAACCCTATCAATGATTTACGCACATCACTAAATCCTATCAATGATTTACGCACATCACTAAATCCTATCAATGATTTACGCACATCACCTTATCATTTCCATGATTTACGCACATCACCTTATCATTTCCATGGTTAACGCACATCACTTAACCCCTACCGATGATTTACGTACATCACGTAATCCTACCAATGATTTACGTACATCACTTCAACCTTACAAACAAAAACAAATGTTATAGATAGTCGAACTATTGTTTCCACGTGTCTTGGAGAAGCAAAGTAGAAAACGAAGGTTACAGGCCCGTTATCCGGACCGTAAGGTTTCAGGCCCGTTATCCGGACCGTAAGGTTTCAGGCCAGTTATCAGGACCGTAATGTTACAGGCCCGTTATCCGGACCGTAATGTTACAGGCCCGTTATCCGGACCGTAAGGTTACAGACCCGTTATCCGGACCGTAAGGTTACAGGCCCGTTATCCGGACCGTGTCTGAACAACAGCATCCGTGGATGTATCTTCATGTCATCAGGCGTAATAAATAAATTATAAATTAATATATAAAACTACATCGTATGATTGTTTTAACTTTTATGGGATTATAGAATTAATGAGAATAATTAATAAATATGTTTATCAGTAAATAAATACTAGGTAATATATCCTAAACTAAGTATAGTATGATCAATTGATCATAGCAGGTCAACAAAAACAACAGGGATGTTCCTACTTTAATATTCCATAATATTATAAACACGACATCTTATACAATATTATACATATATACATTATATGTACAACCGATATTAATGTTATATTGTACTTATACGGCACACATATATTTGTAATAAAGAGTTGATCTACATTATGTACAACAAACAGCCGGTTAAATACCAATTGTTAATGTTTAAAAATAAGCTATCATCAGTATGATATTTATAGGACAACATATTCTGTCTGCAACGATCTAACGTGTCGTGTGTTTGTGTGTGACTTTATACACATATCTAACGTGTAGTGTGTTTGTGTGCGACATAATACACATATCTAACGTGTTGTGTGTGACGTTATACACAGATCCAACGTGTCGTGTGGTTGTGTGTGACGTTATACACAGATCTAACATGTAGTGTGTTTGTGTGTAACTTTGTAAACAGATCTCTCATGTAGTGTGTTAGTGTGTGACATAATACACAGATCTAACGTGTCGTGTGGTTGTGTGTGACGTTATACACAGATCTAACATGTAGTGTGTTTGTGTGTAACTTTGTAAACAGATCTCTCATGTAGTGTGTTAGTGTGTGACATAATACACAGATCTAACGTGTCGTGTGGTTGTGTGTGACGTTATACACAGATCTAACATGTAGTATGTTTGTGTTTGACATAATACACATATCTAACGTGTAGTGTGTTTGTGTGTGCGTTATACACAGATATATTTACATTCTGTATGCTTAGACCCATTGACAAAAATTACATTCATAAATGCATAACACAGGTGTTCATAGAATCTCAGCACGTGGGAACTGATAGTAACCTGATCACACTGCGTAGTAATACACTACAAAAACTACTCACTCGGAACGACCGACCTAGATGCTTAATTCTTACA